ATGTGATCCATTGGTTAAAAATAAATGGGTCAGTTTTTCTCATACCTACTCTTTTTCACTGTTTGATCTGATCAAGACTTTTCTATGATTTTACACTATAAAATAGGTAAAAGTGTGTGACTTTTACTGTTATGGTAACGGGTCAATATCGGTATCGGTCAATTCTCAAAGTTYTAATATCGGTATRGTATTGGAAGTGAAAAAGTGGTATCGGGACATCCCTACCATTTAGAATTTCACGATCAGCTCATCTAACGGTGGTTTCACGATGATATAATTATGATTTCGAGACGGTGTCMGCAAATGCGTGCCGCAACCTAAAGGAGACGAGATGCTCCGAGTGCCCTGACCCACAACGACTCATCGTAGCGCAGTGTTAGCGTTAGCAACACAGAAGGGCTAACTGTTACAATGGTCATTAACAACGGAGGCCTGGATTAGGTTCGGTTCAAGGCTGGTCTGTATTCACACCAGAAGCGAACGCGGACCAACCGTTAGGTTAGGAGTTACAAACTCAGGTCCATTTAAAGCAGACCAAATGTGTCAGTTTTGAATACACACTTAGTGAAAACACACAGAGTTGTAATTTTTATCCTTTATTGGGGTCTTTGATTGACTTCCTTTCATTTCTGTAGCCTAACTCTAAACGCCAGTCCATATCTAACTCTAAACCTAACCATAAACTCAACTCACATCTTGGCCCTAAACCTAGACCCCAACCCAAAAGTGGAGATCCATCATGAGGACTGGTCTTGATAGGGTAGGGGTCCTAAAGGTAACAAATACAAGTACACACACACTCATAGTACCTGTGCAACCGTTGGGTCTATGAGTTGGATGGTTCTGACCGAGTCCTGATGTTTTGTAAGTTTCAACTTCTGCTGTTCCTGAAACACAACAAACCACAGTCAACCTTCCTGACAGGATGTTTCACCATGTGACCAAAACCCCAACTAACTCCCAGCCTGCACTGGTCTGTTCAGGCCGGATTCAGTACCGTGCAGTAAATCTTCAGCTCTGATCCCACCACAGCAGGAGGACCATTGAAGTTCTCGTACAAACATTCCCAGTCGGTGATAAAGTGACCCACAAAATCCATCTCCTTCACACAAAACACCCTCCTGCACGACAAAACACACTGTGAGCAACGGGCAGAAGTCAAAACGCTGTGACGCTGTGGGTTTGCAGGTCGGACCTGTTGGTGACGATGATGTTGGTCTTTTTGTGACCAGGATGTGGACAGAAGCTTCTGAACACTTCACCCTCCAGTGGTTTGATTCCTGAGCGCTGCAAACACACAAAAACACATTTTACCTTCTTCACACTGTTCATACAGCTTGTTCAGATCTATTTTATTTTAACAGATAAATAATTTGTTTCCATCACTCACCACTGTGACACCTGCTGGATGATGGTCCCAAACACTGACCCCACAACCCCACAGCTTAAACCCACAAACTGAACATCTAGGGATCAACCAAAGTGACCAGAACTGACCACAGATCAGCCACTCCAACACTCAAAAATATGATTTTGTCTCTGGTCAGTGAACACATCATAGCTAACAACAGTGCCTCTTGATGTCGAGGACTTTGCTGAGTGAGACGGGCTTGAAGGAAGCTGTAGAAGTGCTCTCCTCTGGTCTGTAGCCAATGCAATGTGTAACGTATCACATTAAACCGACAATTAACCTCTTGAGCCCCATGTCCRCGGTACCGTTGGGCTAAACAGCTTTTTCTGTTTTCTATTTCTTTTAACTTCTTTTAACTTAAGATCTGTAAGTTGAACCTGGACMTGTTTGGTATCAAAAGAAACCTAAGAATCTTGGCTAAAAGCTATTTTTACGTCCATCAGAAAGTAAACAAACTGTACAAAATGGCATCATTGCAAATCTGTAAATACATTCAAGCAAATCTGTAAAGGAAAGATTTTTGACGTCATTCAGTCAAAGTAGATTTTTTACTTGATTTAGAGTGAATATGATCCAACTGAAGTCAAATATAATTTCTCATTATTTTATTTGATATATATGGTGACAAATAAATGTTTGGATAATTTTTCAAAAATAACAAACATTCAATAACAAGTCTTTTCAGTCAGTTAGGAAAAAATAAATAACTTTTGGAAGTAAAAACTTCAGATTTCTTAACATTTATTAATGTTACCATCATGGTCTGTCCTGTGCAGAATGACAAAACACTAAATTATTTCTTTACTAAAACCTCTGTAACTTTGCTCCAGTTCATTTTAGCAGCATGAATCTTTGTACAGGTGATGTTTACAAGTGGATTTATGGTTTCCAAGAGTTTTTAGCCTGATTCATTATGGTTTTAAATGGGTTATATACTGTTTAATGAAAACATTATTCAGACAGGAGGGAAAAAAATTAAAATATGTTCCATCCTCAATATCTCTAAAACCAACAGCAAATGTTTTAATATGTACACTTCTGATAAAATCTCCCAAGTGTTMCTTTATTTTGATACCAAGATTATTTAAGTAGAGTTTGTAAATGCTGAGATACACTCAGTTACATTTCAGCATGGTGTTTTAAGAAAAGAAGCAACTCCAAGAAAACCCCTTGGGGCTTAAGAGGTGAAGTCTCAAAGTGAGATACAGGCGGCTGTAGTGCACTGGCTGAAAAAAATGCAGTTTTTGGATTTTTGCATGATGAATCAAAACCTTATCTATTGGTTCCTTGAAGTAAGAGCAATACCAACAACTGCTGAGTTAGGCTAGCTGTCTGCATGCTATGCAGCTAGAATTAGCTTAAATAACTTATTAGTAGTTTTAGTGTGTCTGTGTGATTCTGCATTATTTTAAACGGTAGAAGCTAAATATATAAATAAATTATATATATAAAAGATGCTTAATTCTCGGCAGAATTTACATTACCGAAACTAAATGTTCATTTCAAAATAAAATTAGTGTTGTGTAAAAGTTTGTTTAATGCAATAAAATTCCCTTTTGATAAAACATACTAATTCATCAAATGTACGGCCATTTTAGCTTTGCTTGTGGTTTTCGTTCCTTTAAAAGTTTGCTTCTTGGGTTTTATTAAAGTCTAAGCTCTTATTTTGAAAGCTATTAAACTTTTTTTTGTCTCTGGCTTGATGCAATTTATGTTTTTCTTGGAAATGGTGAATATATGAATGTTTGTTTGCTTCTACACGTTAAAAAGGGTGTACAACACATACACCACTTTCTACACTACTGTTATTGTTGTTAATYTACCTGCGCAGAGAAACTACTGACTGCAGCCGCATGTAATCGTATCCACAATTTCCCACTGATGACAGGGTTTTCAAAAACGATTGAAAAAGCTTAKGTTTCAGAGAAAACACCTGCTGTTGTGTACATGAATGTCCAACACGCAGCAGAAGACCTATGGATTAATTTAAAAATACAGTTCTGTAAAAAGGTCCTAAAATAAAACTTTTTATATTTCGCTAAACTGGTTCAACAAGTGGAGGTATAAAAACTCCAAGTGTCGAGTCCTGACAGTACCCCCTCCTCATAGTTCYTCCTACATAAACCCTCAGATCATTTTAGCAAAAAGACACGTTTCATTAAAAACAAAAATAAAGTTTTATTAAACTTTGGACACAAAAGCTGCTGACGTCTCACACACAGATGACAGACAGTCAGGTCAAAGGTCATGCTGACAGAGYAGCAACATATTTGGTCTCATGTTATACAGTATGAAGCATTTCCTCACACAGACAACGACGTTAATACGTTTGTAAGAGTTTAAGTAAGATTAGTAGGATTTTACAAAAATATTTCTAAAATCTACATCCAACATTTGCTCTTCTGCCTTCTCCTCTCATAAATTAAATAAATAATAATATAAATAATAAAAGGCATAAATGTGTTGAGAGAGTACAAAACGTTTCGAGGTACGAGTGGAGACATTTGGCATGCAAAAAAACCTGACGCGAGTCCAACAATCTGACTGAAAGGAGTAAATACGAGCAAATGTGCCGAGCCATGAGGAGGATTACAGAATGAAAGAGTTCAGAGCYTCAAAGTGTTTCACCAGAGCAGGGAGAGTCCTCCTCAGGCTGCATGAGACAAACACAAGAGGAGCAAGAGGAAAAACAAGAAGAAGAGCAGAAGATTAAAAAGGGTTCAAGCAGAAAGGACTAAAGGATAGTGGAGCTGGAGCAGGACTGAGGACCACGGGTTTGGATTCTTTTAGCAGAGTTTTAAACGTACACTGCTCTATGATGTGAGGTGTGGACGAGTACTGTAAAGACTGGACGCTTGAATCAAGCACAGAAAACTGATTAAGATCTCAGCTGAATGTTTATTTTCAGATCTAAAGACATTCATTCACGAATGTTGCAGCCCACAGAAAACCGCTCTGAAGAAAACCCTGCAGACTTTGTAAGTAAATCATTCAAGTTATAAAACAATTAAAACTGTTATTAAAAGCTAAACATATTTGTCTRGTTGAACCAGAAACCTGGGGGGAAACAATCTGTTGCTACAGAAATGGTAAAAAGACAAATGAGTCAAACCTGGAACAGGTCCAGACCCTGAGACTCGGTCAGGTCAAACGGGCGGATGATCCCGTCCTCCTTGATCAGACGGACCGGCCGGAGTTTGGTCACTTCCTCCGTCGACTCTGCRGCTCTGACGTCACAAACACACAAACACACACATCTGTTAGGACCTGCAGCCCGCTTCAACCCGAGTCCGGCTAAATGGTTCTGATTCTGCTGGGTCGGGTCCGACTCAGGTCGGGTTTTAATGCACATCATGCTGCAGGCAGCTGTGGTCAGGTCCAGGTCTCACCTGTGGGGGCCTCTACAGTGACAGCATGAAACAACAACTTTCAGTAAGTCACAGATTATAATATCAGCTGACAGACGGACCCTCACTTTAGGGAGTTGGGGGGGCGGGGCTTGTTGGGGYACGTTTCATGGATAAAGGGAGGATGTTGAGGTGAGAATCAGACGTGTTTGAACTGGTTTTACAGGTGTTGGTATGATGTAACGGTACGCCTCAGGAGCAGCGTCATGGTTTCAGACTCTGTTAGTGGGAGGCAGGGCTTCAGTCTCCTGTGCTTCAGTCTGAACCAGCCTGTGTTTGATCTAAAGTGCTTCAGATGATATAAAACAAGGGTCTGTCGAAGGGAGCAGTGTGTATTTCAGTGAACAATCATGTGAAAAAAATTGGACCCTCTATTAAACTCTTCTTTTATCAAGAAATGTTCACATATTGATGTTGAATCWTGTTTTTGAGATGTCTGGAAAAACAAAGTGATTTGATTGCAGTTAAACAAAAAAAAAAACAGTGAGAAAATTTAGTGTTCGTTAACTGAAATCGAGACGAAACCWCATAAATGTTGAATAGATTAAAATGTGAAGAGAAGAGGACCATAAAACACCAGGGACTGGAGTGAGCAGTGGTTTAATGTTCTCTGCGAAAACAAAAAGCTAGCCCTGAAAAAACCCTGGAAGTTCCGGCGTATAAACAKATGCTCTTCTGTGCCTGGTACGCCCACTACTGGCCTACGGCTGAATCGCAGACGCTCAGACAAAAAACCTGCACTTATGTTTGATTAACGTTTTTTTATGTGTTGTGATGGTGTTTCGGGCATGTATCTAAACTATTTTAATCAAGACATAACAATAGTCAAACAATGGATTATAAAAGTCAATACTTACAAAGGAAAACTATGAAAATGGTGTAGTGCTTTTAAAATCAGTATCAAACATGACTAATAAATTTCTTCAGAACGTCACCTTGTTTATTGAATGAAGCACCCTGATAGTGATAGACACTTCTTGTAGTGTCTACCAGTCTCTGACATTCATCTACTTTCCATGTAGAAATGGTTCAGCAGTCACACGTTTAAGGGGTTTCTCTCRAGAAGATCTCAGTGACACGCCGTCCTGGACTCTCAATTTATTTGTTTCCAGTTGGTCCTTTGTAACCTGGTGAAAACCAGCCCCTGTTCTTTGRTTRGTACAGAGGGTCTGGACTCTTCAAGTAGGGGTCTCTGCAGAACGTATTGTCCTGTGGGCGGAGACGGCCCAAATCSTCATTGGCCGAGGTCTTACTGTGGGCGGAGAAGTCCCTGCTCGTGATTGGCAAAGGTGTTGATGTGGGTGGAGATGGCCCAAAAGATGTGATTGGTTGGATTGATGGTGGGGTATGAGGCTGGAGGCAGGCAGCGGGGGAGTAGCTCGGTCAAGTCAGGCAGGAAGTAACATTGTTTTTATTAATTTTAGTCATAACTTGAGAAAGGAAAGTGCTAGTTGCACGAAATTTGAACGTCTTACATGTGAAAGGATGGGTAACAATATGGCTCGGTCAAAACATCCCTAACCAGCCTGTAAAAATATTGATTTTTAGCWATCTTTTTACAGGCTGGTTAGGGATGTTTTAACCAATCCATATTGTTACACATGACACATAAATTAATCTTAAAAAAATGTTGCTTCCTGCCRGACTCAATCAAACTACTCCCCGCTGCCTCCAACCTCCTCAAATCCCACTATCAACCCGACCAATCACGTCTCTTGGGTCATCTCCYCCCACATCGAAACCTCCGCCAATCACGAGTAGGGACGTCTCCGCCCACAGGACAAAACCTACTGCAGAGACTCCTTACTCAGACTCTTGGCTGCTGAGAAATTATTTCTTGCAGGAGACGTGGCCTCTGTTGAAGTTTAAAACGATTGGATCTGATTTACCCAATGGCTAACCATTGGCCGTAACGTATGTAGTACTGAGCTGAATGAGACGCTGTACATGAGTGCTGTAGGCTGTGAAAGACAAATTCAYATATTRAGCTGTATAGTGCACCTTTTTAAAAAGGTAGATAAATGTCCAAACGTGTTAAAAACACAAACATTTTTCAGAGTATCCTACTGTAATCTTTTCACATGACTGTACTTGTGCCAAATGTTTGTACCCAACCGTTACCCCGTTACACCCCTAGTTTAGGAGTACTACAATACACTGCACCATTAGTTATATTTGAACAAACGTTTAATTGTAGTTGTACATTTACTCCTCACTTCACCTACTGCAGCTCAGTCCCCAACCTATTTGTGCATCATGACTGGCTTCATACAGGGTTATTTTTTCATGCACTAGTGAAGAAAATCAAAAGTTTGACTTGTTTTTTTTTTATTCTTGCATTATCTTGGAGGTTTGGGAAAAATATTTGTGACTGAGTCAAGACGTGGGAATGGAAGTGGCCCAGTCCTGGGACCAGTAGTTGGGGACTCATGATTTACTGGACATTAAATATTTTGTTTATATGAATATACAAACAGCAACAGTATTAGCATACAGTCATTTTGTTTTTATGGCACAGTATGAGGGCCAAAATTAAGACTATTGTGCAACCAGTGGTTGCTACATCCTTGTAGCAGGAGGTCATATCTACTCCTAAACCAGCTGTTGATCTGATTAATGATAGGCCGGTACCGCTAACTGAGAGGCCGGCGCTGGCAAATGAGAAGGAGACTATTCTTTATTCAAAAACATTTGTGTCTAATAAAGTAGGTGAGCAGCCTAGGCATGCTAGTCACTAGCCTCTTCAATGCTAACACCAGCTTATCCATGCTAGTTGCTAACCTTTCCAATGCTAATGCCAGATTATCCATGCTAGCTTCTAGCACCTTCGATGRTAATGCCAGCTTATCCATACTAGCCTCACCGATGCTAACGCCAGCTTACCATGCTAGCCGCTAGCCTCTCCAATATTAATGTCAGCTTATCCGTGCTAGATGCTAGCCTCTTCAATGCTAACACCAGTTTATCCTTGCTAGTTGTTAACCTTTATAATGCTAAAGCCAGATTATCCATGCAAGTTTCTAGCGTCTTCAATGCTAACGCCAGCTTATCCATACTAGTCGCTAGCCTCATCGATGCTAATGCCAGCTTATCATGCTAGTCGCTAGCCTCTCCAATACTAATGTCAGCTTAACCATGCTAGTTGCTAGCCTCTTCAATGCCAACATCAGCCTATCCATGCTAGTCGTTAGCCTCACCGATGCTAATGCTAGCTTATCCATGCTAGTTGCTAGCCTCTTCATTGCTAATGTCAGCTTATCCATGCTAGTTGCTAGCCTCTCTGATGCTAACACAAATAAATAGTCTCTGTCTCATCTGCCAGCACTGGCATATCATTAATCAGATCAATAGCTGGTTTAGGAACAGATATAGCTTCCTGCTACAAGGATGTAGCAACCATTGATTTTCCAATAGTCTTAATCTTGGCCCTCATATTGCACCATAGTTTTTCTCATACTGCAGTTTAAAGCAAACCAGTATGTTAGTTTGTTTTTGTAAAGCTCATCAGTGTTAATCAGAACCAGAACCATGTGACCATTCAGTCAGCCAATCCCTGAGGAAAGAAGAGCCAACCTTTGGGTTTTTATGGATTCACAATGAGACACAAGACGACATCAGATTTAACTGAGCTGCACACAGAGTCCCAGTAGAACCGGTCCAGAAGTCCAAGGTCAGTGTATGTTAGGGTGTTGGTTTGAGTGACAGATTTTGGTTCTTCATTCCACCATGATGTTCCCAGAGGAGAAATGTCTGGACTGAGATATTTATCTGTCCTACTAATCTGGATAACTCCTGCAAAATTGGTCTGAATCCTATTTTTAGAGCGTTCTAATGAGAAGTTCTGGACCTCGTTTGAAAGAGGAAACATCAAGCTGCATTTGGATATCAGCTTGTGTTGAAAATACTGGCCAGTGTGCAGAGAAGTAGAAAAAATTTAAAGYTTTTTGGTCAAAATTATCATTAGCTGTTGGTACAACCCGTAAAATACTTCAGAATATATTTTAAGCTTTGCCTTCTAGTAACCCATAGATAGGTTTTTATTTGTCACATGTTGCTAAATTCCAATACTGGACCTGGGGTCTGTGTGGAGTTTGTATGTTCTCCTCGTGCTGCGTGGGTTTTCCCCAGGTACTCCGGTTTCCCACGCAACACAAAAACACGTACAATAGTTTGCTTTTGGGTCCAGGTTGCCTTGCAGGAGATCTGCAATCTCAATGAGATTTGCCTGGTTAAATAACGGCAAATAAAAAAGACTTCTTCCACTGTTCCTCTGAATACTGYTGTTCCTCAGGGTTCTTTCCTTGGACCTGTGCTGTTTTCACTATATTTGTTGCCACTAAMTTCAGTTATACCTAAACACAATCTCCAGTTTCATTTTTATGCAGATGATTTACTAGTCTATTTGTCAATTGTCTCCAATAACATAAATCRTTTGGACTGTATTTTGATTGGTCTTGAGGATATTAGAGAGTGGCACATTAGAGAGTGGCACCTGAATTAAGACAAAACAGAGTGTATTTTGTTTGGAGCTAAAATATGACCAATTTTTATTCAAGAACTTGGTACTTTGGCTCCTTACTGTAGACCTGTGGTGAAGAATTTGGGTGTGACGTTTGATGATTGTCTAAATCTGACAAACCCACTGAATGTGTTGTTAGAAGCAGCTTTTATCAACTCTGACTTCTGGCTAAGGTTAAACCCTTCCTGAGTCAAAAGGACCTTGAAAAGGCAATGCATGCTTTTAAGATAAGATAAGATAAGATAAGATAAGATAAGATAAGATAAGATAAGATAAGATAAGATAAGATAAGATAAGATAAGATAAGATAAGATAAGATAAGACTTTAATGATCCCACAGTGGGGAAATTTATCAGTTTTTTATTAGTATTTTATCAGTTCTCTCAATGATTACTGTAATGCAGTTTATGTTGGAATAAGTCTGTGTTCTCTAAATTGACTCCAATTGGTCCAGAATGCTGCTGCTCGACTTTTGACCAACTCTAGGAGCCTCAGACTCTGATTCTTTAACCGCTGTTTTCAGAGTGATCCAGGAAACAGAACTTAATACAGTATCTAAGATTCCTTCATCATTGAGGAACACAGTGGTCCAGAAGGATCATCAGCTTGTATGACTGAGGTTAGTTTGTACAACAGAACCAGAGGTCTCTGAGTGCAGGACTGTAGACTTGGATCTGATTCAGGCGGTCATGTGGATCTAAGTAAAGTGTCTGAGGGAACCACAGTGATTGGGTCAGGTTGTGTATTCTTTTAGCGATTCTGGACCGGTTGAACCATCTCCATGTTGCAGGTGACTCTCCTCAGGGTATGGGTTAATCGACTTCCAGCAAAGCTTTACTGATGGGAGGGCGTCACAGGAAGGTTTCAACTGATGGACAACYTGGCGAGCATGAATCAAACTGAAGATGAATGAAATCAGATTTTGACACGATGCTGTGACTCACAGTGCGTCTGCAGCAACAGTCAACATGCAAACATCAAACCGCTGCATGGTAAAGCTCAGCTCCGTCCTCAGTCTTTTCATCCACTGGGACTGAGCCAGCAGCAGAAACCTGCAGCAGCAGCAGCAGCAGTGGGAGCTCAGCTTTAGCAGGCTTCATGTAAAATACTCACACCAAAAAGCAAGAAACACAAAGAACAAAAGTCCCGGCAACACCAACAGACAGAAAAAAAAGCAGAAAATGTGAAAATTAGTAAAAACACAGAGGACAAAAACACTGTTGAAAGCACACAGAAACCACAGGAAGTTCTTTAGTCTGACAAGAACCAGAGATTAAATCAGAGTGAAGACGTCACAAAGAAACTACCAACAATATAAACACAGACAAACTGAAGGTTCAAGTAAATACCTCTGGATTCCCTGGAAGGTGCTGCTGGCCATGTCCACAATACCACCCGTGGGTCGGGCAACAACACCCACAAGACCCTTACCAATCCCCTTAAAGAACCCTGCTGCCCCCTCCTTCTTAGCTCCTGCAGACAGAAAGACAAACCAGCTCTAGTTTGGTTCAAATCAACATCTGGACAGAACATCCTGTCAGACAWTGAACAGCTCTAAAATGGTTTGAGTCTTATTAACTGATAGATTTCAGTTTGTTAATGTTAATGAATCTTCCTCTTACATCAGTTAGTCATGGAGTTCCTCAGGGTTCAGTGCTTGGACCAATTCTCTTCACTTTATATATGCTTCAATTCGGTAAAGTTATTAAACAGCATGGGATAAATTTCCATTGTTATGCTGATGATACTCAGTTGTATTTATCCATGAAACCTGATGAATCCAACCAATTACTTAATCTTGTCTCAAAGACATAAAAACACGGATGACCATGGATGAGAGGTTATGGTTTTTGGACCTGAACATCTTAGGAATAAATTTTGCAGCCTTCACTGGATGGCATTAATCTGGCCTCCAGTTCTAATGTAAAGAARCTTGGTGTTATTTATCTGGGTCCAAGGAGTTTAAATCAAATAATTTAAGAGATCTGAAGCTTTGTGAGATTGGAAATAAAGAATTTTAGAAACCCTGAACAGAGAATCCAGGAGTTCTGAATTGGAAGACCTGAAGGATCTGAATAAAGAGAGTTTAAGGGTCTGAACTGGACATATTCTGAYTCTTTTAAAATCTACTTTTTAGCAGTTGGACTTTTATTTGTGACTGATAAAAAGGCTGAAGCTACTGAAGTAAGGAGTTTTGGTTTTAAATAAAATGCAGCTCATTGATCATATTTCACTAATGTTGCTCGATGATTGTTGTGTGAATGTTTATTAAGCATTCACATTTTTGGCATCATTTTTCTTCCGTACATTTTTTAGCACYTATCTCATCCTGCAATTTTTGTGCTATTTCAACAATTTAAATACATTATCAAAACATTCTGGCTAAAACTCGGGTATTAAGTAACTTTAATTTTTTCTGCGATTTTCTTTTCTTCGTTGAAAATGGAGCCATTTAAACATCCTAAATATTTTCACAATCTTTACTGTACTTTTTACCTTTTGTTCTGTTTTATTCCCTTTAACTTTTTTGTGCTAATTTCAGTTTTATTTAGCTGATTTTTGCTTATTACTTCCATTTTAGCTATCACTCTGACATTTTATGCCATTCTTCTTTTGATTAAAACTTTTTGGTCTTCATTGAGCCGCTTTCTGCTAATTTCAGCAGTTTTTAGCTAATTTTAGCTAATTAGATTTTTTCAGCTAAATTCACATTTGTGTGATAATTTCATTAAAATTTTTCTTCTGTTTCATTGAGCTAATTTCAGACACTTTTTAAAGCCCTGTTTAGGCTAGGTTTCAGATTAAATTTGTTTTTAGCCATTTCATAACAAATTCTTCTATTCTAAACTTCTATTCCTGTTTTTTGCGGATATGAATATTTTCACTCTGGTTTTCCTGTTTGTTAATCTTAAATTTCGTAATCTACTTTTAGTTTCTTTTTGCTACTTTCAGATTTTTTGACTCTTTTTTTTGTTATTGATATAAATGTTTTTTCACTTTTGTTGTCCTACTTTCAGCAAAAGTCAGCTGTTTAAATTTAACTCGCAGTTTTGCACACTGCATTCACAGGAAACACAATTTCTCTAGCTGAATTATTTTTTTAATRTTAGCATACTGTGATATTTTATTCTCTCTCTTTGATTACCACACAGCACCATTTGAGTCCAGCAGGAGCACAGGTGTGACTCACCTTCCACAGGTTTGGTGACGATGCCTGTAACTCCACCAACGACGCCCTGCAGAGACAGGTTGTCACTGAGCTGCACCACAACACATCACTGAACAACAATCTGACCAAGTCTCTCCAAACCTTCAGCAGTCCTTTCCCTCCTTTAGCCAGACTGCCCTTGAAGTCTTTAGGTGCTCGGTTCATCTCCTCCCGCCGCTCCTGCTGGTACTGCTTATCCATGGTTATGGCTGCCAGGCCTTTCCCCACAGAACCTGTGATCTTGGAGACCATACCTGCGGCCCCACCTGCAGGGAGAACGCACCAGCTGGGACCTCGGACCACACAGCTGCAGTCACAAGTTTCCTTCCACTTATCATGAGCATGAAAGGCCAGTTAATTTACAGTTTACATCAGCATGGACTGAGAGGGTGCGCTGCAGACCAAGAAGGAAGCTCCGCCTCCAAAACCTACAGCTGTCCACATGGACAAGACATAATTTTATTCTGTATGGATTAGAGACCATCCACACTGAATTTAATCTTGTTTTTAAAAACAAAATATATATTTTTTACAATCATCCAAACACCTGGAAAAAGAACGGTTCAAATAAAACGTAAAAAAGACAAAAATAAATTGGACATTTATTCATGAGTGGAAGAAAACGTCTGACAGCAGCTGCACGTCTGAGAGACTGACTCTGTTCCTTACCCACAGTGTGACCCAACAGGCTCCGAACACCGATTACAAATCCTTCAGCGAACTCCTCCGGTCCCTGAACAGCTCCCTGACGAGCAAAAACACCTTCACTTCAGCTACGGAGTAATGATTCACTTCAGCTACAGAGTAATGATTCACTTCAGCTACAGAGTAATGATTCACTTCAGCTACAGAGTAATGATTCACTTCAGCTT